CCAGTGGGGACCAGTGGGCAGCAGGGCTGGTGCTGGGCTGTGCCAGGAAAGCCTGGGAGAAGTGCCCGAGCTCCTCTCCCAGCTGTCTGTGCAGCCACCAGCAGCCCTCCTCTCCCCGGTGGCCTGCCAGGCTTCCCTTGCTGCCCACCCCCTTGTGCTGCCCACCACACTGCCGCTCTGATCGTCCCTCCCTGCTACCGGAGTGGCCCCGAACCCACCAGGCAGATCCCTCCCAGGGTCTCCGAAGGGACGTCCAGATGCTGGCAGTGCTCACCCAGAGGCCAACCAAAATAAACCTAGGGCTTCCCATGAGCAAAACCCCAGGGTATTGCCAAACCTGGGGTAGGGGCACCTGCACCCCCTCCATGGAGGCTCTCGGAGTGAATCTGGCCCATGCAGGCAGCAAAGGAGGGGCTGGGTCGCCCAGAGGCCAGGGTTAGCCTTTAACTACCAAAAACACAGCACGGAGGGAGAGGAAATTCTTGAGGCATCTATTAACATAAAGAGTCCGTACTTTACATTTGGTCCCACTTATGGCTTATAAATGATTACTGCACCTTTTAATAAATGGTTAATCAAGTGTTAGAGTCCAAACAAGTTGATGGGTTGCTTATTACCACGGTTTATAACCTTTTATGAATGCCTTCTGTCGATGTACTTATAAACATCCATACCACGTACTTCTCGTGTCTTGACATGTTGGTCACATCTGTTCAAAGTTTATTAACTCTTGAGTTGCTCGCTAACAGCAGACCGGGAGGGATCCCGCTATTTATCTATATTAATCTGTGCAGCTCAGCAAGCACACCTGTGTGCAAGGCACCGAGGGGCAACGTGGACATCCCGCTTCGCCTGAAAATGGTTCAAAGCAAGCAGAATGCAGCCACATCAGAAATAAGTCAGCCATGGAGTGTTGCTCTTGGGGGTGCAGGGTTTTTTTGCCACCACGACAGTCCAGTGAAGTTGGTGGCAGATTCTTCCTCTCTTGAAGTCACAGAGCTGAGACAGGACGTCGTCCTGGACCACTCACTTGAATCAAAACCACAAGTTACTGAGCTGAGTGCAAGAAGAACTGGGCGACATTTTCTGTCTGTGAACACAGGAGGTCAAACAGGATGATTTAATGGGCTCTTCTGGCCTGGAAATCCATGGAAACATCCTTGGCCATTGCTGTTCATGCGTAGCTAAAGCCCCCTTCACGTCATGTTGCAAATAATGAAATAAAACTCTCAATAAGCTGAATAATCAGAAAACAATTTTCCAATAAAAGCGTCCCCCGAAATCTCCTTTTAAGGCAAGGACTGGGATTCCCACCACCAAGCATGTTCCTGACGCCTTGCGTTATTGTTCAGCTGCCTGTACCGGGGCCGGGCAGGCTGCCACGCCACCCCGTGCCCCCGGGGACGCTCCCTGCCTCATGGCCCAGCCAGCCCCCCTGCTTCTGAGCCCTTTTTGCCTTTAATTTTCCCCTTTTGCTGGATGCTTTGGATAAATTTCCTGTTCAAAAAGCAAGCGGAGAGTACGAGGTACCGCAGCCTTGTGTTCGCTCCAGCAGCCAGAGAAAGGATTTGTGCATTAAGCAGACAGGGATGATCCCAGCCCAGGCGGGAAGCTGGTTGCCTTGGCCTTGGACACTCCTGAAGGTTTATTAACATCTAACTGAGCTTTCCCCTTTGCTCCCTGTTTCCTGGCTCCTCCAGAGCCAGTACCCCATTATTGGCAGCAGGAGCATCTCCAGCACGGAGCACCCTCACTTGCTGCCCTCCACCGGCTTATTTGTGGCTGGAGTGTTGGAAGTCTGAGGAAATGTGAATGACGGGAAAGGGCATTAAAGATACTTATCCCCTTGGAAAAACAAAACCAAACCCAAACTATGCTTTTTTGGAAAGCTGCAACAACAATGGCTGCTGCCTGAAATGTACCCGCAGCCAGCGCATCCCTGCCACAGGTGAGCGGTGGGGGAACCGAGGGGGCAGAGCCCACACCAAGGCCACGCCAGCCATGCTGCTGTGGCTTGTCTCATAAACTGCTTCAATAACCATGAGCAACGAGGTGTTGGGGCAAGATAAGGCCATTTTTTTCTCCAATGCAAACTCTGCTCAGCAGTGGGAACAGTTGCTCCAAAAGCTATTTGGAGAAGCCGGAGCTTCTGGGCACACCGTGGGCTCCTAGACAGGGAGCTAGGGCATGCGGGGGGCTTCCCTACAGTGCTTCTCCCACCCCTGGTTTCCTGCACCTGATGGTGAGGCGGTGGCTTGCAGCCAGGCGAGGATGCTTGTGAGCTGCCTGCTGTCCTCAAGGCTTGGCGGTGGGGCTAGGGGTGCTTGTCCCATCTTAGGGGGAGACAGCAGGACCTGGCCCAGCCTGGTTGCTTTGGGCTCTTCTCCAGTTATGGCTTGGCCACGGGGCCCCTGGGAGCGTAGGGTGTTAATGTGCAGGTCCTGTGTGCTGGGGTGTGCTGGAAGTCTTTCCTCTGCACTGAGGTGTTGCCACAGCTGGTTGTGCCACAAACACCAGCTGGACAAAATAGCAAGCAGGAGAAAAATGAGGCAAAAAGAGTGAGGGAAAAGAAAAATGCAAAGGGACCTGGTGTGCCAGTCCCCCACAAGCCCATGTTTTGGGTGCTGCATGACACATCCTTGTGGTCCAGGTGGGCTAAAGCACAGAGAACCACTCCCTCCCATGGCTGCACCATGGGCTGGGGCACATGCGGTGGAATGGGGGACATGCCATGGCAAGGGACATGCTGTGGGGGTGACACTTTGGGAAGGGGTTTGGGTGTCAGGACCATCCCTGGGTGCCCAAGTCCAGCACAACCGGTGGCCATATTGGCTCTGTCCCGGACAGACAGGGAGCACTGTGGGAGCAGGAGCCCCTTGCCGTGGGGCTGCCCCCTCGATCCGCCCCATGGGCACCCATCTCACATCCCACCCACCCCATCTTGCCCTCCCGCCCTGCAGGTGCACCCTCTTCCCTGTCAAGGTTCCCAGGTCCCATTGTTCATTTTTCAGATGGAAAATAGAGCCCCAGCCCTCCCTCTGCACTCAAAAAACCCCCCAAAACCCAAACCAAGAGAGGAGAGAAATAAACAAACAAATCCCTTCCCTCTCCTGGCTTGTCATCTGCTCTGCTCACAGTCCTTCCATTATTAATTAGAGAAGCTGCCAGCATTATTAGCAACAAACCACTCCTAACGAAGTTCAGAGCCGCAGATCAGGAGGAGCTCCCAGACACCGCTTTTCAGAAACCTTAATTAAATTCACTGCCTGAAGGTGCTTTTGGCTGGGGTGGAGGCAGAGTGGTGAGGCTGCCCAGGCTGGGCATGGCCGCGCCAGAGGTGGGGCTCAGGGTGAAGGGTGACAGCGGGAAAGGGGCACCCCACTGTGCCACAGTCCCCCCCAACACCCCATCCCCTCTGGATTTGGGGCTGAACCAAGGGACCAACTGGAATGTGCTGTTGCAAAGTGGGGATTGCCCAGCCGCTGCAGGGATGGCAAAGGCAGACCACTTAATTCATGAACTAAATTAACCAAGTGCCAGGGGCAGCGGTGGCAGGGGGGTCGGCAGGGAGGGCTCCCAGAACTGCACAAGCAGCGGGGTCCCCAGCCAGTCCCAGGTCTGCCGTCCTTGCTGGGATGTCCCAGTGCTTGCAAATGCTTCGAGGCCTGGGAAGGCAAGGGGCATGGGCGGTCTTGGGCCAGGGGACCAGCTGCAGGTGGCCTCTTGTCCCCCCTGTCCCCCGCTGGGCAAATAACCTTGCCAGGGATCCTGGTTGACAGGCAAGTTTCCTGAAGTGACACAATGAAACTGCCAAGCTACAGCCATGTTCCCTTCAGCACATCCAGCACAGGCTGCTCCACACCAGCGACACTCAGAGACTCTGCTGCTTTGTCTTGGGGCTGGGACAGTTCGTGTCTGGATATGGCTGAGGGGGAGGTTCTTTGAGAAAGGATGGTTTCCACCCCAGACTTTAAAAGAAAACAAATCCTTGCAGGAACTCCTGCTGATTTCTCCCCTTTTGCTGCAGGGAGGGCTGAGATAACACCCTCAAAGAGCAAGTGCAAAACCTGCCCAAAGCTGGATTTCAGCTCCCTACACATCCACTCCCTTCCCTGTCACCCTTCCTCTGTGCACAGAGATCTCCCTTCCCCTCCTCCCCGAGATATTCCACCCTTCTCTTCTCTGACCTTATAGGAATTTATTACTAAGGAGTGTAAAAAGATTACTGCAAAATCGTTCTGCGTTACTGGGAAATCATTGCAACATTAGCTCAGTAATATTTTTTCATAAGTGTTTGCTGTGTCTCTTCTCCGACATATTCGGTCTCCACGCGCACATCTACACCCCCACAAATCCTGCTGAAGCCAAGAGGCACTTGGCAGAGGACCGGAGCGTGGACCTGACCCGGCACTCACCCCAGCTCCCTCCTTCCCGTGCTGGCGGACGAGGTTGCCATCCCTTGGCCAACCAGCCGCGTTCTGAGACCCACGTGCAAGCACTCCCCATCCCTACTTGTCCAAAAGGCATGGAAAACCCTGGCTGTCAGGAGCTCAAGCTGCCTTGGCTCGAGGGGTTTCACCAGTGGATGCTCGTGGAGGATCCTGCACCTGGCAGAGCCCATGAATGGCAGTTTTGCTGACGATTTTTGGGAAAAGAAAGCTCCCTTTCTCTCCCACACTTGGACTCAGGAGCTGCGGGCAACAGACCCCCTTTCCCTGGGGGTGGGAGAAGGTGCCAATAAGGAGAAGAGGCTGCTGAGGCAGCCGTGGGGCCGAGCAGGAGGCAGGTGATCCCACCGTCGCCTGCAGAGAAGGACACTGACAATTCTGCAAATACGTTTAATGCACTTAGAATACACGGGAGGAAAAAAATGTTTAGTGATTCACAAAAATATTACAAAAAGTCACGTGCAGGCGAAACATACCCAGCACTGCAATAACAATGTAAGAATTTACATTAGAAACTAATATAAAATATTTAAAAACCTCTGCTAGTTTAGCTTTCCATTTGTTTTTTGTCTTTTATAAAAAAAAAGGAGGAGGGGAGGGGGAAGAAAGGCCATCTACAAGGTACTGATACACTGGCTGCAGAAACGCGGGCTCCTTCCAGCCCCATCGGTAGCGTCCTCGGGCTCCTCGCTCGACACGACCCCGCGCACGCAGACCACACACACTTGCACTCGCACACGCACACGGCTGAACTACGGAAAGGTTCACCTCCAGGCTGCGAGGGCAGTCCCCCGCGGTCAGGGTTTGCTGTGGTCCTGGTCACACCACATCCCCCACCCTGGGAAGCTTGCTGTAGCTCTAGGTTTTGCAGAAACCATCCAGCATACAAAACAAGTAGCATTCCCAGCGAGCGGCAAAAGGTCCATCCCTTTAAAAGAAGGGAAAAGCCAGTATGTCCAACCTGGGCTGGATGAGAGAAGAGCTTTGAATGACTAAACTTGGGTTTGGAGTGTGGCTGTGGCTGAACACAGAGCACCAGGACTGGATGGGTACAAGGAGCATCCCGGCACGGGGGCCAGGGCATCGGTGCAAACCCGCAGCGGGATGCCATCTGCTTTTCACAGGGCTGCAAATTGCTGCTTTGGGGAAAGCCAAAAGCTGAGAACAAAAGGGCCCAGAGCCCCCCAGCCTGTGATCAGTCACTGCCAGGACAACACGGCCACTCACACCCGCCTCCCCTTCCTCTGCCCCCCGCGGGTTTTGCAGCCCGCTTGCTGCCACAGGAGGAATGGTGCAGGAGCTTCGTCGCCAGCACCACAAAGTCCTTCTGCGCCCATCCTGCCTGCGGCATTGTCAACACATGCCGTGTTTATGTAGGACCTACCGCACACGGTGACAGCTCGGTCCCTCCCACCCTCGCCGCTCTTGCAGCAGAGGGTTTCCGGAGCCGCACTTTCGCTGCAGTTGGGCCCCAGGGAAAGGAACAAAGGAGCCATTTTCATCTCCAGCCTCGCCGGGAGTGGAGAGAGAGAGCACGAGAGAAAAGACCAGTGTTTGCAAAACACAACAATCGGCAGGAAATTTTCCTCCAGCTTTTTGAGGCTAGGGATTTTTTCTCTCTTCCTCCTTTCAAAGAGAGGAGACACAATGTCAGGACAGTTTAAAAACAACCAGGCACTGGCCAGCCACATCTGCCACGTGCAGCCCTTTCTGAGCTGATGTTCCTCTCCTGCTACTGGGGCCCTACAAGCTGAACAGTGAATGACGCCTTGGTCTTTCAGCCAGGGAAAAGGAAGGTGCTGCCTTCACGGCAGACTAGAAATGATGTTTCTGAACTGATGTGCTGCTTGTGATGATTTTATGGTCTGACAGCGATTTTAGGGGAAACAGAATCATGGTAGAAATGAAGAGGTGGTGAAGCACGATACACGACAGGTTCACTGCCTGACAGAGACAGGTTGATGCGGGGCCAGGTTTAAAACACATTTGCAACCTCAGGCTTATTCTCCATTTGAAATTTTGGACTCATGTTGAACACAAGGTATATTTTTTAAAAAGAAAAGAGAACAAGCAGACACTACACAACAGAAAAAACAACAATAGTAGGTTGCTACGGAGCTCATTAAAAGCTGACATCATCCCAGAGACCTAAATCCAGCTTTAAAATCTTGAGAGGTGAACCCCACTGGCAAATGTGCAGGTTGAGAATGTTGTGGATACAGTTTGGCTCCTGCACAGGATGGTGTTTATCAGTAGGGACAGATGCACAAAAGAGATTCCCAATTGCTTGACAAGTCATCTGCCCTTACAGCTTAACTCACAGGGAGAATTAAGGCACAATATATACTCTAAACTGAGGGCAGTCACAGAGGGGACCAAGTCCCTGGGAGGTGGAAGGGCTCTCGTGGTGCTGGACACCCTCCTCGGCTGGCTGTGATGGCACAAGGGCTGTGAAGCCCAAGACTTCATACAGCAGAGCCACAGGGTGCTCAGCTGTGCCTCAGGCTAGGGGAAAATCAGACACACGGGTCTAGGGGTTTCCTCTGGCCTGAAGGTCTTCGGATCTCTTCTCCCCACCCAACATGATGCTGCCTTGCACCAGCAAGATATGAGCTGGCAAAGCGGGTCATGGACTTGAGATGCCTATCTAGGAGGAGGGAGTAGTCATCAGGACAGACAAATGATCCCATGCTGACCTGTCACCTAACCCAGCGTCCTGCAAAGCATGCAGTCAGACAAACATTTTCCAGTGAAGCACCTGAGAAAGGTTTCTGCGAGGAGCTGGAGAGACATTTGATGAAGGGAAAGGATGGTGGGTGAGCAATACAGCTCACTCAGTGACCAGCCCAGAGGTTCTCCTGAGGGGCAGTGGAGCAGGAACTCCATTCCCCACCCACACTAATTAGAATAACAAATGAGACTGAAGCAGCCACACTGCCACACCCCATCTTTGACTCGACCTCAGATGCAGCTAACGCAACCATTTGAAGTCTCTACTGTCAGGGACGGGTCCAGGCCAGGGTGTGAACACGCAATGGGATATGCATGGCCGGCTGCTTGCGCGCGTGCAGGATCTCAGTGGGTCCTGGCATGGAAATGAGGACTTGCCGGCAGGGACCCCATGCTGTGCTGAGGCCCTGATGATTCTCACTTTGGTTTCTAGCTTCCCTGCACCCATGAGATACGTAAGGACTGCACTGCCTTGAACAAGCCTGAGCCCTGGGTGCAGGAGGGAGGCTGCTAACCTGCTCCCTTCATCACACAACCTCTCGCCAGAAATCTGCCCCCTCCAAGCCAAGCATCGCTTTTAACTGGTTTTTTTTTAAAAAGGTACACCCCCTAAATATTTCTGCTGGTTGTGGATGAAAAACGACACAACCCCCACTTCTTCAAAGACCATTTGATGACCCGATGGTGTAATTTCAAAAGCCATCCAAAAGCAACTGAATGTTTGAAGTGAAGAGCTTCAGAATATAATTTCAAATCACTGTTGGCAAATCTATGTACAGTAAAACCAATATATCACCATCCTCAAAGACATTATGCACAGCAGGCACCACCTATCTAAGCCACTGAAAATATCACTGTAGGTCACACCAGCTACAAGACTGACTGCTCTGCTTAGATCGTATCCCACATACTTTAATATTGAAACTATACATTCCTTCTGTTTTTAATCATGAGTTGAGAGGGATAGTAGTCCTGGCTTTTGGGACTTCTCTTGTTTCAGAATTGCTGTCACATATTGGATTTTCAAGGCATTGTGGGTCTGCCATAAGGCTCTTCATCTTTGGAAATATCCCTATCGACCTGCATCGCAAGTTTTCTCCAGGAGGGAGAAAACCTCTACTTGCTGCTTCTAAACGCATTTGTTTCCATCCAGATCACTATCTTTAGCCAACACAAGCCTCACAGGTTTTGGTTTCATACAATCCTGCTTCAGACCTTCTATACAATCTAGAAAAAATCAGCACCAGTGGACCTACCACCCTAGCAGGTTTGGGCTACAAAAATACCGTGGCGTTTAACACTGATACATTTCCCTTTTTCAGACTACTTGCTCACTAAAATACTGAGGTTTCTTTCCATTTTCTTCACACAGAGGCATGTCCTCTTGCCCCAAGATGAAAATATCCAAACTTGAGATCTCATTTACTTGCCAATGAGTAAGCCTTTGGCACAGTTGCAGACTCGATGTGAATCAGGGGATGGGAGGTCCTGTGGGTGCACAGCTCTTCACGATACTGAGTAACATGCAACTTTCTTATTCTTAGATAACTGCTGAGAGGGAGTGACACGACCTTGGAGCTTAAGGGTTGACTTTCACCAGTTTTGCTCTTATAGTTGGTTTAACAATAAGACAGAGATTTCTATTTTAGTAGCTGTCTAATATTTTTCCCCTTAACTAAGTAGGAAGATTTCATTTCCTTCCCTTCAAACCTTCCCCTCAATTGTTATCTGGCTACCAGCAAAGATCTGTGAGAAAGTGTCTCAGAAATAGAGATTTCTGGCATGCCACCTGTTCATAACTCAAATACACAGAACTATATATAAATACATGACATGGAACAAAAATACACACACACACAAGGATACTGGGTGGATTTTCAAATGCATTCAGCGTGCTCCCTCTGAAGTCAATGAAAACCCAACCCAGAGCGTCTGATGAGAGTAAATATGGTGAGAAAAACATACACATAAGAAAGGCAGAACTGGAGCACAAGCCAGCTTGGAGGATGTGCTTTCCCTGCGTACAGCACCACATCCCTGCTGCGAAGGCTCAAAGAGTTCATAGGGCAGGAGGTCCTAAGCTTTCCAGATGTGTGTCAGAGCCCAGAGAGGGTCTGATGGACTTCTCTCTGCCCCGTGCTGATCTCTGCAGGAACAGCAACAATTGACCTTCCAAATGTCCCCTCTCCACTAAGATGTGGATTTTAAGCTCCTTTTAATGAGAGCTAGCATCTGGAAACAAGGAAGAGCAGCCAGCATCATGGCAACGGGCCAGCTCTGCTGCAGGCACCCCCAGCAAGCTCATACAAGAGCAGTCCATAGGCTACCGTTGGCGGATGGCTTTGGGACAAAACTGTAGTTGCTGCCCTTGCCTTTCTCCCGACTGCCACAATCGTTTGTCTGTTCATTATCTTGTGGTGGGACACTTGGGCACGTCATTTTTGAAGCTGGACTGGTACATTTTCATGCCACTTTCTCGCCCATGCTGTCCCCTGCATATACATCTACAGCGCAGAAGGGATGCTCAGTGCTAACCAGGACAATGAAAACTGGCCAAGAGATCCCACGGATGAATGCAGTCTGCCACAGCACAGAAATCACTCTGGCTGGCACATGCAGATATCTGAAAGTTTGTTCTTTCGCAGCAGGATTTTAAGATGATCCTCCGAGTTCAGACAAAATGACAAACTCATTTACATGTAAATTGCTTTCGTAGGTTTGCAGAAAGGAAGGTTCTGCTGAGCAGTGTTGGACCCTGCTTTTGGCCTGCCTTAAATTATAATAAAACAACAATTATAATAATACAAATACTACTTTGTACACGAAGCACGCCCTCCCCTGAAAACCCTGGCATGCTTCGGTAGGTCCTACAGCCCTCTAGTCAATAATCACCCTCTCTGCACAGAGAGACATTGAGTGACTTGCCTGAGGCCATGGAGGAATTCTGTAGCAAGTCCAGGGAAAGCTTTGTGGCTCCTAGCTCTGCTTCTTGACCAACATTAACCAGTCTCAAATATATGCAAAAACCATCAAAGCTGACTGTGCCAGGAAGAAATTAAATCAGCAAACAGAAAACCAACCCTGGGGTACTGGGGAGGTCTTCTGGACTTTGCTGTTTGATCAGGGGAGTTAAGTGTTAAAAGCTTTTGTTATACTTGTATTATGATCACACAGCAATTGCACATAAATTGCCAAGTTATCTTGTAGGCAGAAAGGGGTGGAAGAAAAGCTGCACCTCCCCTGACAAGGAGTGAAGAGTTGTCATCAAAAGACAATGGGCAGAGGAAGGCTGGGGAATATGCATGAGAAACAACCTGCAACAGCAGCAGGGGGTAAAGCCTGCAGTGGTTTGCTGCAGTGTATTCACAGGGGCCAGCATCTCGATGCAGAGACACAACCTGACCTCGAAGAGACCATCTCCTCCACACACCACATTTTGCTCCAAGAAGGAAGCCACAGGGATCTAGAAAGAGCATCTTTTCAAAAAGATTTTGATTCTTTACAGTTCAAATCTATCTGAAAAGGATGGACGTCAGCAACAAGAGCCACCACAGTGAGGCTAGAGGGGAAAATGGGAGCTGCACCAGGGCACAACCCTGCTGGAACAGAGAGAATAGTTGGCTTTATTGAGGCCGAGTCTCCTCTCTGCTACGTCAGGGCAGTGGAGATCTCCATTTCATATGCTTTTAAGCAGCCCTCTGGATCCTGCAGAGCTGCTGAAGTTGTCCCTGTGAACAAATGGTCCTTTCTAGCTTCTCAAATTCTGTACAATAGCAAGGAAAAAATACTTGACAGTATCTCTTTAAAGATAAACACACTGTAAACAGGAGATCTCCCCCGCCCCGGTAGCTTTCTTCCTCCTGCTTGTGCAAAACCAGAGGTTGCGACCTTCCCTGGGGTTCAGGCACAAGGACAGGATGCGTGAGAATAAAGTTGCCTCTGTTTGCAGCGATACCATAGCTAATAGCACCAAGACCAACACTTAAAACATGCCTAATTTGAGGGCAGGGAGGATCTGGGTTTGTTTTTCTTGACTGAACTAGAAAGTTCATCTTTAAATCTGTTCAGCTTCAAGCATGTGAGCTTTTGGCCTCCTTTAAACAGGGGAAATACCATTCCGTTTCTGAAAAGAAAAAAAAAAAAAACACATGGAAGAACAGTTCTGCAGTCAGTAAAAGTTTGGCTAACAAAAGGACTCCAGAGTCACGTAAAGAACATTTAATCCATGGATTATAGGCTTGCACCTGGCAGAAATGCATGTGTAAATACAGGCGTGCAGAGCGTCTACACCCTGGGCTAAGGCAGAGGGAAGTTCTGTAGCTAGGAGAGAGAAAGGATTCTTACTACTAATTTTCATAGTTAAATATTTCTCACTCGCACTCACACATACGCAGGCTGTTCCCAGAGAGCTCAGCCTTGGGAAGGATAAAGGAAAGGGCTCAGTTCGGTCTGGGCTGGTGCTGAGTAGCTTCTCTTCTGTTTGCAGTGGTTGTGCAGCAAACTCTTATTTGCAGGCAGAGTTTTTACTGCATTAATTATCCTGTGAGTCACTGGGTAATGGACAGTAACTTGGCTCTCCCAGTTGTTAGAAGGGTGTAATTCAGCTCTAATGCAGCGGGTTGTCGAACACGGCATCTGGCAAGATGGAAACTTTCAGTTTCTTTTCAGGCCAGCTGTACTCCTTTGGAAGTTTAAACTGTAAGACAGTAAAGAGAACCAGTTAATGTATATCACTGCAACCTAACCCACAGAAAAAACAAAATCTTTGCAAAGGCAGGCAGCCCCATGTTATTATTATTTTTTAAAACAAGAGGCCACTAAGAAAGCATTTCCCCATCAGTATGTTTTGGACAGCAGTGGACATTAGATAATGTGGCCTGTGCCTCAGCTGCCAAAGTAAAGTTCTGATATTTCAGCCCAAGCACTGTTTATTTCATCAGACTGATTCTGAAGGGTTTCTGCCCCCATCACCATTTCCCCTCCCTGACAATTTGCAGCACAAGTACCTTCCTTCCTACCTGTCAATGTCCCTTTCCTTTCACTTACCCCCGCCCCCAAAGCCCCCTGTTTGCTTTAAAGGGAGTCTTATGGCAGCTTTCAAACTCTTGCTCATATAGGGTGGGATGCACATGAGCTAGCATGGCTCTGCTGGCTGACAGGCTTGTAAATGGCCACCACCTCCGGAAGGGCAAACTGTGCTGCCCTGGCTGGTGAGAGCCAGTGTGCCTGAACAGCATTTCTGCTCCAACCCTATCCACCTCTGACACAAAGGCTCTGCAGAGTGCCTGTACAATGCCTCATATTCACACAGGCACTCGGCTGCTCGGGCTGTTTTGCAAACATTCATTGAAGCACATGGAACAGAGACTTTTTGCCCCAGTCTGGTTTACACAGAACCATCTCTGGTCAATGTTTTCCAAACAAGGCAAGTGCACCGGTCCCATCTTGATGTCACTCCAGGGCACCCCACCTTAGGCTGGGAAATCACCCCAACATCTCTTATCCCAAACATGACCATGTAGGGACAGAGCTCCAAGAAGCCTCACCACTGACCCTTCTCATAACCACATCTGACCAGGGCCCATGCCTTCACGCAGATCTCCCCAAACCAGCTTTGTGGGGGTGGTGGGAGGTAGGGGGTGGCATCTCTTAGGCTACAAATCTGCCCCATCCACAGCTGGATGCAACCAGTTCCGCACACACCTTTCACACGATCCCAGTGCCCAGGCTGAGGGTCCAAACCCCATGGGGGACAGCTCTGGAAGCCAGTTTGCAGGATCATTTTGTTTTTAAAACTCTGCAACTCTGTTGTACCTACAGCGGAGCAGCGCCTGACACTGATAGTCCCCGATACAGGGATTCCGAGGGAGGAACCCCACGTCACAGGCGACAATCTGACCTGGAGGCAGCTAATTCAGAACTGTTACAGATACAGTGGTCCCCTCCCAGGAGGCCAGCAGCACCATAAACTGCCCATGAAATATGTGAATTAGTGAGTTGGTGCAAGGAGACAGTGACCTACACATCATCCACCTTTATCCAATTACTTGTCTTTCTTCCCATAAGTGCCCCATTTCTGAAGGACATTAACATATCTTCAGTGGCAGGTTCCTGCTAAAGGAGATCCTCTCCAACTGCCTGCTCCACAGCAAGGACAGTTCTAACACAAATTTGTGCCTGACCTTGCTCCATTTGTAGCTGTGTACGAGGGTAACCTGCAGTTGGTACCCACTGACCTTAGTATGCCAGGCTGGCAGTTCAGGGTCTGACCCATGATCTGGGGGCATGGCAGGAGGATCCTTCAGGATAGTGGCTACCATAAACTCCTACTCTTTCTCCTCTAGGAAACATAAACAGCCCAAGTCCCACTTATGGTTGTTTTTTTTAAACTCAAACCCTGTGTATAGCTTGCACCATATAATCTAGTTGCCTTACACTGCCCAGGGTATTCTTCTGAGTTCGATGTCTAGGCTATGTGAAAAACATGCTAAAGATACTCAGATCATTTCACTTAATTTCACTTAACACAGGTGGCTCTTCATGCAGCAGAAGTGGTTCGTTCTACCACATGGATATCACCAGCAACAGTCAGGGCTGCTGAGGAACGCCTTCAGTTGGCCCAAACCAGGATCCTGCGAGTTACAAATCCTTGGAGGAATCTGGATGCTGAAAGATCACATTTCATCTCAAGTATTTTCCTCTCTATAAACAGGAGTGGTTCCAAAGCAATCCTCTCGGAGAAGTCATCCTTTGCATTTGTTTGTTTTTCACTTTTTAATTTAGCGAAGTCCCAGTAACTCGGAACCAAACGCCCAGTTGCTGTGCCAGGAGCTGCCATGCTCACTGCCTCTGCCTCTCAGCGGAGAGCGAAGGAACATGAGCCGTCCAAAGCCTTAACTAAAGGGCCTTCAAACCAAAGTGCTCCTGGGCTTCCATGTCACTAGCAAAAATGAGCTTTGGATTAGGTTTAACTGGATAAAAGCTGGCCTGAAAGTCACTGCACAGCCAGCATCATGCTCCCCTCACTCACACAGTGAAGAACACCCTGGCATTAAATCAACTCTGGATTAAACAATTAGAGCCCTGAGATTTTCCTGGGGGGAGGGGAGCAGGGTGAGGGATGGGAGGGCTGTTCTACAAGCCAAGGAAAGTTTCTTTAGAGTCTGCAGGGAGCTGTAAAAAATGGGATTAAAAATATTACATGTCATTTCTGCCACTGCTCTTTGAAGTCAAGCAGAATATTTATATGGCATGCATGGGAGACAGGGTGTTAAATGTTCCCCAGGAAGAGATCACATGGCAGGGGGAAGTTTAGTACTGCACAGCAAAGCTTTATAAAGCTCCCTTGGCTGCTGCTATAACGCTTCCAAGCTGGTGATGTTCCTCTGCACACCGTGCAGGGGCAGCAGGTGAAGGCCAAGTAGCAGATGTGAAAAAGCTCCCCCCCTGCTTCCCAAACCCCAAAAAGGAGGCCCCCTACAACAGACTGTTCAGCAATAAATGTGCTGCCACTGCTTTCAGTCTTTCTGAAAGTGGGGAAGGTGATGTGCCTGGAGTTGCTGCCGAGGATACTATGCACTGCATGGAGGAAACTCTACCACCTGGCCCCAGGGGCTGTACCACTTTGGTTCAGGGCGCTCAGATACCACACTGGGAAAGATGCTGGCAGAAAGGAAATGCACAGTCTCCCTTAATACCCATCCTGCCCTCTATTTCTCTTGCAATCCCTTCTCTCAGTGCCTTAGTTCACAGCAGATGTGAAGGTTTAGCAAGGCCTCAAGCCTAGGGGAGGATCAAAGGCGAGCTGCAGGACAGGCTGAGCTCTCTGGGGCAGGACAGGGGAGATACGGGAATGATGGAGCCTTACTTCCTCTGGAGAATTCAGATCTTCTAAATCTTCCAGCATTCTCTCTACGAATTCTTCAGTCAATAGGATCTGCAAAGGAAATACAGTAGTTTTATGCCTTTACACTCCTAGTTTTAGCTAATTGCCAAGAAACAGAATGACTTCTGCAGAGAGCAGACTGTACCAGCTCACTCCTTCCCCTGTGCTCTTCTTTCCCGTAATACAAAGGTTTGAGGGCAAGGAGCTCCTAACTTTGCCTCCCACCCCAACCACTGAAAAAAATGTTAAAATTATACAGTAATCTTTTTTGACCCTCAATTATCTTCCTCAGTCTAAAATTAGAGGCTCGGCTTTCAACAGACAGAGTGGGGAAGGAAAAAAAGGGTCAAGATAACAACTGTTGGAGAGACAGTGGGAGACAGCCACTTTCATCCGATCCATTGAAGTTAAACTCACAGTTTAATCAGGAAACAGCAGCACAGGGAGAGCCTGAGACCCATACAGAGCTGGTGCTCTGGGCACAGGGAGGGCTCTGACCCGAGTGCTGCACATTGTTCAGATGAACCAGATGCTGGGTATGGGAAGTGCTCCCAGAGGCGCCTGCACCAGGCACCTCCACAGTGTTATTGCACATGCCCATCCCGTGTGCCTGTGCAGGGAAAGCTTTTGGCTCATCTCAAGGCCAGGCTGGCAAGCACAAAGCAGCCCATGAAAGCAGCTGCCAACAGGCCAAAATTCCCAGCTGAGGGCCATGACTCTGGCTCCATGGAGCCCCCAGGTCACACAAACCAGAGATACCAGGAGGAAAATCAGCCCCAGGAATTCAAGGGGATGAACTCAGACCCTCTTTAAAAAAGCACGTGATTTCCAAAAGCAAACATGTTCTGCCTCTCTTCACAACAGCCATAAAGGCCAGAGCTCCAGGCCGGCCAGCTGGCTTGGCACAGGAGCAGACACGGCAGTGCGGGACCAGGCAAACATCCCCACACCGTGAGGGGGCCTTGGAGCGGCATTCCTGGGAGTTAGGTTGCAGCAGTATCCAGCAGATTATTCCCATTTCAGCCTACAGGTTTGTTTCTTCCCACCTGCTCCTCCTTTCCTTCTTTTGCTTCACCCTTTCCTCTGTCTCTGGCATTGCTTTCCATCCTGAAGCAATCACCATCCTCATGCCCCTTTTTCTCACCCTTCCCTTTCCCTGTTCTCTGCAACCATGAGCTCCGTGCTCCCCCCAGAAAAGGGACTACTCCAGCACCAAACACTGATGGAGCTAAGTGCCCAGCCCCACCACTCTCCGCTGTCCCCTCCTGCTCACATCTGGAAGAGGTGCAGCCAGCCTGTCCCATTCAGAAAGCCACCTCCCACATCCACCAGCTCCTTGGTGACAGTAACAGTGGGGAGTGAGTGACTGCCAGGATGCCATGGGCTATTTGGCAAGTGGAAGCCTTTGGTCTACAGTTTGGTAACACACAGGCAGGGCTATTGGACAGAAAGGTAAGACTCTGGTCTTCCTTTCTTCCTTCGGTTATCAAGAGAAGAGATCTGAAAACACCAAATTCAGATCCAAGAGCTACCAGGTGTCTGCAGTTCTCTCCCCTTCAACCTTGTCACCCTGCTGCCATTACACACAAATTTCGCAGGGAATAAGGGAACTGCAACCTCCCCTCTCCACCACATTCCCCTCTTCACTTAGCTTCAACCTGCAGCAGGCTGCAGGCCAGGGTTTATGACCAAGCTGCTCAGCATGAATGCAGGCACCTCCATCAGGCCTTTCTGATCATACCTCGAGCCTGAAAAAACCCTGGTTCAGCTAGGAGCCAGGAGCTTGCTGCTTTGGACAGGACTCTGCAAGCTGGCACCAAGCTGCAGACTGGCAAGCTGAGAAACAGCTGAAACACGCAGTACCACCGCAAACTACTGCAGTCTCCTTGCAGGAGTCTGTAACTATTCTGCCTGTTGAACTGGAGACACTCGTTTGTTGACTGTTTGCAGGAAGAGGAAGCTGTCTGTCCGTGTTGGAGGCAGGAGGGCAACCTGATCGTTCAGCTCAGAAGGAGGAGCTGGGTGGGGAGCTGGGTCTCTGCATGGAGCAGATCAGTTTCTGCGGAGGTGCAGCCTGCAATGGGGTGAGGGAATGAAAACAATTTGGCAGACATCAAAATCTACAGAGCAGCCGGAAAAAGGAGGAGGAATTGGTATTCACAGCAATCAGGCAAGGAGGAAATGAATATTCAGCCATCCACGAATGAGCAAAAATGCCAGAGGTTGGGATGGGTGAGAGAGCAGGAATGAGGAGCCGCAGCTTTGGCAGGGGGACTAGAAGACAAGCGCAGCAGGAAGACCCCTGGGCGCTCCCAAGGTGCCAGAGGCAGGAGAGAAATGGGAACCATGTGTGCAAGGCAGCCAGCTGCTCTGAGGCTGGAGGAAAACAAGACAGGGTATGCAGGGGTAAACAGCAAAGGGTGCAGAGAGTGAAGGGGAGGACAGGTCAGGTCCTTGATAAGCCACAGACTCCCAGAGTAGGGACAAACCTATGTGGAGCACTGTGGCTAGCACTGACCTGGGGTACAACCCCCTGAGATGGCTGAGCCATCTCAGGGAATTTTGGTAATCCAGCTGAAAAAAAACCAAATTCCACTGATGCAGTGAGCTGAACTGGCTCCCTGAAGGGTCTGACAAGTGGGGTGGGACAGGCCACAGCTCGCAGATCAGCTGTCTTGTGGACTCCATTTGTTGAATCAAAGCAATGGCAGCCTGCTCTATGCAGCACAGTGAGAAAAGATCATAGTGCCATTCTGCAAGCCCTGCATAGACAGTTAACTTTGGTGGAGGGCAGGCATCACAGGCAGCAATGACAAACTGCTGCAGTGACGTTCACACAGTGTGTCACTCAGACCCTGTCCTTAACAGCCTGAGTCAGAGAAAACCACCCCAAAACCTACGACCCCATGCTGCTGGGGAGACCTGCTCTCCTTCCTGGAGAAGAAGGGTCTCCAAAGCACGGGTGTAAGCAAACGTACGAGCAGCCATGTCCCTTGGCACAGGAAACCGGTACTCTTGAGCTCTCCTGAGGATGCAGGGGGAAGGCATGTGTCCACAGCACACCAATTGCTAAAGAGGTGTTTGAAGCAAGAAGCACTGTCATCCTGGATTCACATCTAGACAAGATTTCTCCTCGTAGAAGTAGCCCAATCAAAACAGCTCAAGAGCATTAAGGCCTGTGCTCATAGATCAGACTGCCATCCTCACCTGCAATCAGCAAAACCACCTTTATGCTGGTGAGTGAGTCTTTGTTCCTACGGAGAAGGATGAGAATAAATCCAATCCCATCTCAGCTTCCCTCACTCACAATATTTCAGGTTTCCAGTTCTTGTAGCATGCCTGCTCCTGCACAGTATGATACCCCATTACATTAACACACACACGTTATATGTGCATGATATTAAAGGTGACATTCCCAGCAAATAAACATGACAGACTGCCATTGCTCTAGGCACCTAATTTAATTTCCTCTGGGATTTAAACCTTAGAAGCTCAAATTAAACAAATAGGCCCTGTTCACTTTATATTTCAGACTGAAGTCTAGAGATTTCCTCCGATGCTGTTAACTGATCTTATCAACAGGACACCGCACAGAGATCACAATGATGAAGCAGCTTATTCCCTTCCCAAAGGAAAACAGAGCTCTGCTGTTGTGCTGCAGCCATGGGAAAAGCCAACACAATGTGGAGGACAAACGAAGCTGTCCCATGCACGCTGAACAGGCCTTTTCTCCCATGAAATCCCTCGGCTGGTGCTGAGGAAGCAAAGGAGCTTTCCCGAGCGGCGGCGGGTGTCCTGGGTGCTGCAGTGGCCAGGCACTCGCAGCACTGTGTTTTCACAGCCCTGTGCAAACACTCCCGCCAGCCCAGCCTGCCGAAGCTGGTTACAGGGTGTAGCTCAGCCTTTGTAATGGCTGTTTGCAGTACGAACAGGGAACGGCCTTGCCAGCCAGCTGCGGATCTCCTTCAGTGCTGCACGGTCCTCTTGCACCAGGATCTCCCTGACCTGACCCAGAGAGGCCTGGACACATGCTATCCCATTACTAGCAGATCTAGATTCCATTTTCTGTGTGCTTTGTGGCTGTTAGTCATGCTACAGATGCTTGGAAAACGATGACTAGCCAAAAGATAAGTCCCTGTTTTCTATCACAGGTACCTACTGCAGAACTGAGGTCCGAAGTTTGGGTTCTCACTGCTTCACTAACAGCTGCATGTGTCCAGACATGTTATCAAATACCAGGCTAGGTTGTCTTATTCAGGTGGATGTGTTCAGGGAACACACGGGCTGCGTGCATGATGTCTCCCTCTCGTGGCAAGTCTCACCTGAGCTTGCTGAAACCTACTTCTTACCTACAGGGCTTACCTACAGGTCAAGTGAAGGAGCTTGTGTTGAAGCTTTCAGTGTTGCAGGTTTCATACCTGCAGATAGTTGAGAAACCTGTATCATGACCTGTTACTCGTTACGCGACTGCGAATGTATGAAAACAGGCGAGATTTAAAAATATACTCAAGGTCATGGGGCTCCAGACAAGTTCGGCTGACTTTGAAAGCAACTGGTGCTTAGTAAAACATTAAAGACTTTATAATCAGCTTATAGGTACCACCCCACAGTTAACACCCCATCTCTCGCTATAAGGTTCAACACTACCATGACAGCTTGAAATTCTCAGCTCAGGAAAGGCTGGTTGGGGCCAGAGGTCACACCAATGCTGAAAGCCTGGAACAACTGACAAGTCTTTGATCAAGGAAGACCCTCAGAAACTGAGCTAGGAAATGAGCTGCAGCTCTGTCCAACCTTAGGAAACATGCTTTGTCCAGGGCAAGACACAAGTGACTGGCCAAGTGACAATTAAGCAAGGGTGCTTTTATTAGTAATACCCAATTTTCTTGCCTACCTAGAAACAAACTAAACAATCTCACACTTTGCCCTAGTGCCCTGTTTGCATTAAACACTGCCACTTGCTTTTCTAGCAGCTTTGTCAAAGAAAGGAAGCCATATTTTATTAGTTCTGGACTTAGCACAGAGCAGGCTTGTATGGCTCAGCCAGAGGA